TTTGTTAATTTGCTCATTGATGGAACTTTTCATGACAGCAGCTTTATTTCAACTCACTCAGAATCAGAGAAAATCTGATCCACTTGTCCAATAGTACAGATTCTGAATTAATGACATGATGAGAAAACACAGTAAAACAGTTTGGTTTTTATCTTTAATAGTTCCTCAGATGTTGTTGTTTAAACAGGCTCACGTTTCAATGTGAGAAACCTGCTGAAAGTGGGTCAACGGGAACATTTTTATTTGCTTTATATCTCTAAAAATATTTAATATATTAACCCAAAATCTCACAAATATCTTCATAGACATCCATATTTGATGCTATAAAATCTTCAGGCCAATCAGAGATGGTTGAGCAGAAACAGGGATGACTTTAGATGGAATAACTCTAATTAATAACGCTGCAGGGTCTGAGCCTTGTTACGTGTTGTAGGCATGTAAAGTAGATCTTATGTCATTTTTGTTGGGTTTTATTGTCTAATGTTTAAATTATTGAGATAAACTCACACCTTAAATAACCCTATAGAGTCTTAACTTCAATATTTACTCTTGTTAAGTTAATTTCTAACACTAATTATTATTATTGTTCTACTGGGAAGCCCTTCAGTCACGTAGTTGTTGTTTCTAATTGTTTAAACCCGGTTCCTGTGCAGGTCCGGTTCCCCCTGTCTCCTCGGTGCCCGTCCTGACATCGCTCCAGTCGGGCCCGGCCCTTGGCTCCTGGCTGTCGGAGCTTCACCGCGGCGCCGTGGCCTTCGACATCCGCCGAGTGGCGCCCAGCTTCCTCTCTCAGGGCCCCGAACTCGCCGACTACCAGGAAGCTCTGGAGCAGCTCCGCCTGCAGGCCCGCTGTTACCGTGACGACAGCGCCGGCGTGATGCGCTCTTCCTCCGAGGACGAGGAGGACGACTGACCTGAACAGACTTTATTCACCGGATGGAGCTGGCGTTACGCTTTCTCACATCGCTGTTTATATGTAATTAAATGTATTTTATACCGAGGACGCGACAGAAAACGAGTGTATTTACAGAAAAACGTGTCTTCTGTCTGCATCAAACTACAGATTCAGCAACTGACAGGCTCAGACGTCACCTTTAGGATGAACTGTTCCTCTGCAGTCTGACCAGGACGTCACAGAAACACACCGATTAATCAGAGTGATATTAATTATGACGGGGCAGCTTATTAAAATGTGATTAGTGCTTTTTTTACCTCATATTTTAACCTCAGTTTTACCTGAATTCTCCAGCAAACGAGCAGATCTGTCTCATAGATTTTGTACTTTTGCTAGTAATCTAGTATTTATAGAAACTTGGTTATAATTTAGATTTATTTAGTCTGATTTGGGGTTTTTATGTTTTACATCCAGATGACGGATCATAAACTGCAGACAGTAAGTCATAGTCTGTTGTTGTTAACACCATGAATTGGTTTAGTAATTTGGCCAAAAACATCATTAAACAGTACAAAGAATATAGAAGATCATTTGATTGTAGGGGCTGAAACATCTGCACTGATGTTATTTTAATAATTCTCACATCCCTCAACAGAACCGATTAAGTTCCTAAATATTTCAAGAATTAAATCAGTCCGATGTTAATCTACAACAGACGACAGTTATGATGCGCTGTCTGCAGTTTATGATCCATCATCTGGATGTGAAACGTCACCGTCTGTTCACTGAATAAACCTGAAGTACAGCCGAGTTCCTATAAAACACATTTGAGATGCGTCATGATGGGAAACACCTGCTCTCACCTGATTGGTTTAAATAATGGTTTCACACAAACGTGTCATTTTAGCTGATTTACAGGGATTTTAATTTTATATATATACATATATAGATATTAATTTGAAGGTTTATTCTACATGTGGTTGACAGATCAAATAAACTGCAGACGATCTGTAGTTCGAGTACATGAACTCTACATATTTGTCGGAGAACATTTTCATAAATCAGTTTCTGTGAACTCCTGTACAGACTGAAGGAAACCTTAGTTTAGGATCAAATCAGACAGAAAGCTAACTAATATGCATCTAGCAGCAATCGCAGGTGATCGATTCTGCACAGAAACGACAGTATTCATTCGCCAAAGATCTGCTTTCATCACTTCACGGTTTCCTAAAGCAACCAGTAAAGTGCCAGTTTTATATTAAACGGTCTAAAAGTGAACCACGAGCAGGTTGTTTTTATTTTCGTTATTGAAACTGGAATCAACCAAAGGGGCGCGCTACGAAGTCAGACCAGCGGGTCAGCAGGTATGTGGAGCCTAAAGTCAGAGTTTTCAGTGACATGAAGGTGGTTCTCTTTTTACTTGCTAGATCTCCATGGTAACTG